CCGAGCAAACGGGTGGCAGGTCGTTTCTTTTTCGGTTGAGGTAGGTGTGCATGGTTTCATCCCGGACTCTCTTCGGAGGGCTCTGAAAGCGCTTGGGTTTTCTAATCGAAGAATAAAATTTATTTATAATTTGTGCAGTAAGACGTCTCTGCGAAGCAGCTACATCATCTGGTTGCGACGTCAACAAAAACACTGGTCGGAAGATCCACTTTTCTGAGGTACTGTATGTGGGGCTCCGTTTATTGAGGTGCGTTGAAATTTATTCTCTTTATCTTATTATTTCTTTTCTATATTTCCCCATATGAGTTCCTATCAGTTGCTGTGAACACCTTGAGTGGAGAGCGCTTGCTCGAGCGTTGAACCGGGTTCTTAATCCACCATACCCAGTTCGCAAGGCTGGGCGGGGTTGTGAGCAGGCTTTCATTTCATCTTTTCTTATTATTTCTTATTATTTCTGCTTTTCATCTCATTACAAAAATTCTGCGCTTTTTCTCCATCTGCGCATAAAATCTAGACTGACAACCTGCTTGTTAAATCATGCACCTGCTTTCAGGCGTAAAAACCCTGTTGTAGAGGTCTCAGTCCTCATTGGTTAGACTTACCTGTCTTTATAAATGTAACTTACTCTCTCTCTCTCTCTCCCTCTCTTTCTCACTCTCTCTCTTTCTCTCTCTCTTTCTTTCTTTCTCTTTCTCTCTCTCCATTTATCTCTCTCTATCACTATCTCTCTCTATCTCTATCTCTCTCTGTGATCTCTCTCTCTCCCTCACTCCCTCTCTCTCTCCCTCCCTCTCTCTAACTCTCTCTCTCTCTCTCTCTCTCTCTCTCTCTCTCCCCCTCTGTATGTCTCTCTCTGTCTCTCTGTCTGTCTCTCTCTCTCTCTCTCTCCCTCTCTACCTCTCTCTCTCTCTCTCTCTCTCTCTCTCTCTCTCTCTCTCTCTCTCTCTCTCTCTGTCTCTCTCTCTCTCCTTCTCTCTCTATCTATCTCTCTCTCCCCTCTCTCCTCTCTGTCTCTCTCTTTCTTTCTCTCTCTCTTTTTCTCTCTCTCTTTCTCTCTCTCTTTCTCTCTCTCTCTCTCTCTCTCTCTCTCTCTCTCTCTCTCTATCTATCTCCCTCTCCCCCTCCCTCTCACTCTCTCTTTCTTTATTTCTTTCTCTTTCTCTCTCTCTAAAAAATTCTGCGCATTTTTTCTCCATCTGCGCATAAAATCTAGACCGACAACCTGCTTGTTAAATCATGCACCTGCTTTCAGGCGTAAAAACTCTGTTGTAGAGGTGTCAGTCCTCATTTGTTAGACTTACCTGTCTTTATAAATGTAACTTACTCTCTATCTCTCTATATCTCTCTCTATCTCTCTCTCTCTCTGTGATCTCTCTCTCTCTCTCCCTCTCTCCCTCTCTCTCCTTCCCTCTCTCTAACTCTCTAACTCTCTCTCTCTCTCTCTCTCTCTCTCTCTCTCTCTCTCTCTATCTCTGTCTCTCTCTCTCTCTGTCTCTCTCTCTCTCTGTCTCTCTGTCTCTCTCTCTCCCTCCCTCTCTCTCTCTCTCTCTCTCTCTCTCTCTCTCTCTCTCTCTCTCTCTCTCTCTCTCTCTCTCTCTCTCTCTCTCTCTCTCTCTCTCTCTCTCTCTCTCTCTCTCTCTCCTTCTGTCTCTCTCTCTCTCTCTCTCTCTCTCTCTCTCTCTCTTTTTCTCTCTCTCTCTCTCTCTCTCTCTCTAACCCAACCAAAGCAAATCCCTTTTTCACACTCCCAGTTTCCCTTAATTATCTCTCATTTTCCATATTTTGCTTGTTTTCGGCAATTTCGGCCATGACGAGGATAAAGGAAAACGAAAATAGATTATTGAACGAGGCCCAAAAGAGAAGGGGGAGTGCTACAAGTAACAAATTGGATTTGAATTTGCTGTTCTTCTTGTTACTGTCCTCATTCTGCATTCAGCAATATATCCAAAGTGCAATGTACCCACTATAGCTAATGGAACTGCCGACAAGACCGAGATAAAGTACCTGGGCAATGTCACCTTTTCCTGCGAGCAGGGTCATGTGGTTGTGGGTGATGCCGCACCAACGTGCATGGACGCTGGACAGCTCACGTCAGTACCTAACTGCGAAGGTGAGCATAGATATATATAATAATAGCATTACCCAATGCTGTATGTACTTCTGATAAAGCATCTTGCACGGGCAAAATGAATTGCACATATCATCAAACAAATTCAAATTCAACTGACTGCTTTGTCCGCCCAGTTAAAATTGGCGCTTATCTTCTCACTTGGTGTTTTGGTGTTCTGCCTGTGCCACACGGCATGGAACCACCGATTCACCATCCGAACATAACCACTGACCATTGCATCCGACGACATGGCAGCACAAACCATCAAAGAAGTAGCGATCGGTTCGTTTGAGTCTTTTTGACGGAGCTGCCGCCGACGAACACTTCCGTCAGCGCAAGAAAACACTGCAACCTCCGCTCGAGTCCGTAAAATAGGTCAGGATGTCGCATTTTTAGAGCGATGGAGAATACAGTTTCTGTCTACTTCCAGCTTTCTGATGGCAAGGATTGTTTATCTCGGGGAGGTATAGAAAAGCTGAAAAAGTGCTTCGCCAGCTTGAATTTCAGTGCTTGCACAGTACAGTGCCTAGTGAAGGGCTATCACCAGCAAATCGCTGACGAAGAAACTGCAGCTCATGTCGATATCTCCAGTAAGTGAGAACAATCCGGCGGACACACTTTGAAGCTCACAGAGGACAGGGCAAAGGAGCTAATCAAAGAAAACACCAAGTCCTGAGAGAAACACTCGTGCAAAGGGCTTTCAGGAAACTAGCCGAAAAGCCTGGTGCACGGCGTTGTAGGTGCAGTACGCACAGGTGCTACATCAAGCGGAAGCTATCACTGCGCTGCATGTAGATCTTCAAGCACCAGCGGCTCGCGTGGGTACGGGCCGCAGGTGCTGATCAGCAAGTACGACAAGCGCAAGAGGCGATTTGAAGAGAGGACACTGATATGGCGTTGCCTTTTTGTCTCAAACAAAGACGCATTATTGCGACGAACGGGGATAACACTTACAGTCAACATGTGGGCAGTCTCACTCAGCTTCTGATGGGAAGGTGACAGGCACGCACTGCCTTTGAGCGTGATTCGAGACGAGGAGAAGTGGAATAAGCTATGAAACGACCCGTGCAGCAGCTGTCCGGAACGTACGTTTTGAGGTCTTCCTCCAGCGACGATAGTGGTGAGGAGGATGTGTAACTTGCTTGAATTTTCGACTGAGTTGCTTACTGACATGTAAATAATCATGTATATAGTGCTTTGTGATCGTGGCTTGCTTCAAATATTCGTATTTCTTTCCTGAGACAAGTGTGAAGATAAGCGCCAATTTTAACTGGGCGGACCAAGTACTTTGAAGTGCAGAAATCAATTTAAATGCTAGTAAACCAATCGGAACATAAAGTAAAAAGCAAAAATCAACTGGAAATCAAAAAAAGAGGAGAGAAACCCCTAGGTGAATGAGCCCATATAGACATTACCGTACTGGCAGCTGTTTATAAACCTACTACTAGTAGTACATCTTTTCTATGGGCCAGATGCACGGTGCGCTGCCTTCACTGCCTTCAAAATGCATGCTTCTCAGAGCGTGGTGGAGGCAAGTTACGTAATGAAGGCAGCGCGCCCGCACTGACCCATAACCACAGTTACATACTCTTGTTTATGCACTCTTGGTAGCATAGGCATACGTTCTCAGAGCCACAGACCAAGCCACTAAGGGCCGGGTTCCACTGTGGCTCCGTTGCTCCGCGGCTCCGCTGCTCCGCGGCACTTGGCTGCATGCGGCGGAGCAGCTCGGTTCCACTGACACTCGCCATTCGCGGTATCGCGGTCGTGCTCCACACTTTTTGATCACATTTTACTTGCCTGCGCGCGCGCGTGCGAAATCAAAAATCCTCGTGTTCTGGCCTGCGCAACGAATTAAAATTTGAATTTTAAAATGTTGTCGTACAAAATAATGCAAAGTACGGGAAACAGGTCGAGCCGCGACCGCAGCTCGCAGTTTTTGGTCAAGAATCAAAGCAAAAGCTCGCGGAGAGCCGCGGCCTCACTGCTCCAGCTCGAGCCGCGGTCACTATGGTAATGATGACGTTTCAAGCCGCGAAAGACGAACTGCGGAGCCGCATTGGAACCCGGCACTAAATATGTCTCATGTGCAGCAACACACATACATCTTCACAACACTCTCCAGACGGTCTCTGGGCTACACCAAACACTAAAAGAGAAAGATGAGATAATGAAGAATGAGCTCAAATGGCCTAATTGGCACTGTTCAGTGTTCACTAAGCCAAGATCTCATCAAGTCAATGTTATGTAAGATATAGCACAAAGCCGGTGTGTTTGAAGTCATTGGCCAGAGAATTTGGCGATACATATGTCGCACACGGAACCTTCTCCTACACTACCCTGTGTTTTGCCTGTTATAGTAGATTTCAGAGTTAACAGTGGTAGTCAACAACCTAATCATATACAAGATTGTAAGAATGTCTAATGCAGAGAAGGGGAAAAAAAACGTTTGGGGTTCGGTTGCAGTATTCATTTGCACTGGTGTAGGTTGCAGTATTCATTTGCACTGGTGTGGATTGCAGTATTCATTTGCACTGGTGTGGATTGCGCAGATCATGCATGTACTGCATGAAGGAAAAGTGCATCATTGTTCTATTACTATTATTATTTATTTTTTGAACGGATTGGGAGCCTGAACTCCAAATACAAAGGATCAGTTGGGGAAGTGAACTGCCTGAAAAGAGAAAAAACCGCCAGACCCACCAGGACTCTTGAGCTGAGCTGTGAGCTGCCTTTGGAGTGAAAAACTTGTCAGCGCCTTCTACGTTCAGCCTGGTCCCATAGCTCAGTGGTTAGAGCATTGCTCATGACAAGCAGGGTCCCAGGTTCGCGGAGTCCTGGTGGGTCTGGCGGTTTTTTTCTCTTTTCAGGCAGTTCACTTCCCCAGCTGATCAAGTATTATTATTATTATTATTATTGTAAAAGAGAAAAGGACATATGGATACGAGTTAAGAGTAACTCTCCATCACTGTAACATGATACTATGACAGTCAGTAAGTGCAATAACTAGGCACAAAACTGACAGAGTACTGAGACATTCGACGTCCTGACACCTAACTTCAACACATCTCCGTAGCGCTAACCGACAGCCTTCCAACTTGGAAGGTTCAAGGTTATGGAAAGACCAAAGAGGGGAAGGCAAGCGCAACGAAAACGTGCAAAAGCCACAGTCCCAACGGAACAAAGAATGTCGATTGTTACTGGACGATGACGAGACCAGTACGATATTTGACAAAGCGGTCTAACTACAATTCGAAGCAGCAAAGCAGCACACCACCCAACTTGGGTGGGTCATAAATATCAAAGATAAGTAAAGAAAGGGAAGCTTTGCGAAAACGAATTGTACAAGCCGAAAGCCAAACTCCTACAGTACTCCTCATGCATGACATTGTGATGGACTAGTTGACTACAAAACAAGTTGTTTCACACGACGTACGTTTCGCCGTATGGTTCGTGACGAGTTTCAAATTATTATTATTATTATTATTATTGTTTAATAAGGATGGCGTAACTCCTCTGTAGCCTTGTCATGATTTCTAATTTTCTTTCACCGCCCACGGCCGCATGGAAAGGAGTTTTAAGTTTGGTTTTGAGAGATTTGGAGAGACTTTAATTTTTTTTTTTGTAGCCAAGGACTTTGTGCGGCCGTGGGCGGTGAAAGAAAATTAGAAATTATTATTATTATTATTTAAAACTCGGATGTTGAGCCATAAATAAATGTAAAAGAGAAAAGGACATATGGATACGAGATAAGAGTAACTCTCCATCACTGTAACATGATACTATATACAGTCAGAAAGTGCAATAACTAGGCACAAAACTGACAGAGTACTGAGACATTCGACGTCCTGACACCTAACTTCAACACATCTCCGTAGCGCTAACCGACAGCCTTTCAACTTGGAAGGTTCAAGGTTATGGAAAGACCAAAGAGGGGAAGGCAAGCGCAACGAAAACGAGCAAAAGCTACAGTCCCAAAGGAACAAAGAATGTCGATTGTTACTGGACGATGACGAGACCAGTACGATATTTGACAAAGCGGTCTAACTACAATTCGAAGCAGCAAAGCAGCACACCACCCAACTTGGGTGGGTCATAAATATCAAAGATAAGTAAAGAAAGGGAAGCTTTGCGAAAACGAATTGTACAAGCCGAAAGCCAAACTCCTACAGTACTCCTCATGCATGACATTGTGATGGACTAGTTGACTACAAAACAAGTTGTTTCACACGACGTACGTTTCGCCGTATGGTTCGTGACGGCTCATCAGGTGTGCAATTTAAAACTCGGATGTTGAGCCATAAATAAATGTAAAAGAGAAAAGGACATATGGATACGAGTTAAGAGTAACTCTCCATCACTGTAACATGATACTATATACAGTCAGAAAGTGCAATAACTAGGCACAAAACTGACAGAGTACTGAGACATTCGACGTCCTGACACCTAACTTCAACACATCTCCGTAGCGCTAACCGATAGCCTTCCAACTTGGAAGGTTCAAGGTTATGGAAAGACCAAAGAGGGGAAGGCAACTAGTCCATCACAATGTCATGCATGAGGAGTACTGTAGGAGTTTGGCTTTCGGCTTGTACAATTCGTTTTCGCAAAGCTTCCCTTTCTTTACTTATCTTTGATATTTATGACCCACCCAAGTTGGGTGGTGTGCTGCTTTGCTGCTTCGAATTGTAGTTAGACCGCTTTGTCAAATATCGTACTGGTCTCGTCATCGTCCAGTAACAATCGACATTCTTTGTTCCTTTGGGACTGTAGCTTTTGCTCGTTTTCGTTGCGCTTGCCTTCCCCTCTTTGGTCTTTCCATAACCTTGAACCTTCCAAGTTGGAAGGCTGTCGGTTAGCGCTACGGAGATGTGTTGAAGTTAGGTGTCAGGACGTCGAATGTCTCAGTACTCTGTCAGTTTTGTGCCTAGTTATTGCACTTTCTGACTGTATATAGTATCATGTTACAGTGATGGAGAGTTACTCTTAACTCGTATCCATATGTCCTTTTAACTTTTACAATTATTATTATTATTATTATTTGTAAGAAAGGGTTTGCTCCCCACACCGGAGCTCGCGTTATTCCGCCGACTTTACTTGACACTTGACTGACTCACGACTGCCATCCAGAGCACACGAGAAGTGCATCGAACCTTCGACTCGGCAAACCTGCAAGAAAGCACCACTCCCTGCTCAATACACAGTGTTTCGGGGAATTTCACCCCTCATCAGTTGAGCTTGAGTAGCCTGAGGAAGATTGTGCCTGAAAAGCACCACTTATATAGTGCTCTCCAGGCACAAACATCACCAGGGATACAAACTTACAGTGACGCTCCCTTTCCAGTGCGACACACACCTCATGAACACCAAATAGCAGCGTGAGTCAGTGTCGCTCCTGGACGGTGAGACAGACGTCGAGCGGAATAGCGCGAGCTCCGGTGTGGGGAGCAAACCCTTTCTTACAAATCATCGCTGAAGTCGCAACCACTACTTCGTATTATTATTATTATTATTATTATCGATCGAGTCAAGTAAAGTCGGCGGAATAGCGCGAGCTCCAGTGCGGGGAGCAAACCCTTTCTTCTTCTTCTTATTATTATTTGAAACTCGGATGTTGAGCCATAAATAAATGTGGAAAGGAAAAGGACATAGGGATAGGAGTTTTAGAGTAACTCTCCATCACTGTAACTGGATACTATATACAGTCAGAAAGTGCAATAACTAGGCCCAAAACTGACAAGAGTACTGAGACATTCGACGTCCTGGCACCTAGCTTCAACACATCTCCGTAGCGCTAACCAACATGCTTCCAACTTGGAAGGTTCAAGGTTATAGAAATACCGAAGGGGGGAAGGCAAGCGCAACGAAAACGAGTAAAAGGTATGGTGCCAACAAAACAAAGAATGTCGATTGTTACTGGACGATGACGAGACCAGTGCGATATTTGACAAAGCGGTCTAACTACAACTTTCGTTGGGACTATAGCTTTTACTCGTTTTCGTTGCGCTTGCCTTCCCCTCTTTGGTCTTTCCATAACCTTGAACCTTCCAAGTTGGAAGGCTGTCGGTTAGCGCTACAGAGATGTGTTGCAGCTAGGTGTCAGGGCGTCGAATGTCTCAGTACTCTTGTCAGTTTTGGGCCTAGTTATTGCACTTTCTGACCGCATATAGTAACCAGTTACAGTGATGGAGAGTTACTCTTAACTCGTATCCATATGTCCTTTTCCTTTCCACATTATTATTATTATTATTATTATTATTATGAAATGACCCAAAGGCAATGTGCCTATCGAGGGGTTCATTTGATTGAAAGAACAGTACTTCTACTACTACTACTACTACTAGTACATAATTATACTTATAGTGCTGGCAACTGAAATCCGACCCCCTTGCCGGGGCGCCGCGCCGCGGCAAGGGGGTCGGATTTCAGTTGCCAGCACTATCCATAAATGTACTGAAAAGTGACGATTGACGACACTAGAGAGGTTCCGCACTACGTAAAGTTGAGCAACTTTACGTTAGTGGGCGGGGAAAACCCGCGAATTCGCGAGTTTGCACTCCACTTATGGAAATTTGTCTACGTAGAGTACGCAGATACGGCTCTGATAACGTAGCTGGTCCGTAAGTGGATTGGGGTACAAATTTATGACTCTCTCCCCAGGTCGATCTGGTCGTACACTGCCGCGTTGGGAGTTGCCAAGGGCAGCTACGTGATTTGAAAACTCCGTATGGCGGAACACAGATGCGCATGCAGTTTACGTAAGACTTTCCGTAGATCGACTACGTTTTTTACTTACGTTATTACGTTATGCGGAACCTCTCTATTATTGTCCAGACATTACAACGGGAACAAGTTAGTTGGTGGAACGACATTTATTAGAGACGGGATGACTAAGACCGGGACGAACGAAACGACCACATGGTGATTATTGAAGAGTGAGAAAGAGATCCAGTCTGAACGGCAAGATACAGGGCCTTGGTAGCTAGGGCAATAATTATGGGCGTGCAAGTAGCTACCCAGGCCAACGGAACAAAAGGAGACAAAAGGTGAGTACGCGAGTGCATGCAGGCCAGCTAGAAAAGGTACGGGAGGAGGTACCTAACAGACAAGTTTTCCCTTTCTTCAATCTGTGTGCGCAGCTATCAACTGTACTGTACCTGACATTGTTAATGGCACAGCTGACAGCCTGGTTATCCAGTACACACAAACCGTCACCTATTCTTGCAGCGGTGACCTGGTGATCAGCGACCAGGTCAAGCCAAGCTGCGATGCTAACGGAAATCTCACATCGGTGCCGAGCTGTGATCGTGAGTACATGGACATTGCATAGTGCTGGCTAGAGAAATCCAACCTCAGGACCAGCTGTTGCTCTATGTACATTGTACAGTGTTGGCTAGAGAAATCCATCATGAATACAGTAACTGGGTGTGAGAGTACACAGTGGGTGGTTATTTTTTATTTTTAACGATTATTCACAAACCCAACTCGTAAAATAAATAATTATGTGGACAAAAACAAACAGCTACTGAGCAGGGTGTGTGTAGTGGTAGGGGTGCGTTGGATTGCTTTGGCCAGCACTGAACATATCCATTACCAAGAGAGTCCATAAACAAGAGTATGCAACTGTGATCTCTTTTCTATGGGCCAGATGCGTGGCGCGCTGCCTTCGCTACATCATTCCACCAGGACTCGAACCAGGGACCCTCGCTTGTAGCCAGCGATGCTCTAACCACTAAGCTATGGTGTAGTCGTCATCCCAGCAGAGAACGTTCAACAATTTCTTCATTTTCTTTCTCATACTTCTTATTTTCATACTACAGTACTTTGTGCATGTTCGATTGGTAGAATCGGGATCCTGATCCGCCGGATCCACTGCATGCACTGCACTGTGTGTGGAGCTGTGCATGCACTGCACTGTGTGTGGAGCTGTGCATGCACTGCACTGTGTGTGGTCCTGTGCATGCACTGCACTGTGTGTGGAGCTGTGCATGCACTGCACTGTGTGTGGAGCTGTGCATGCACTGCACTGTGTGTGGAGCTGTGCATGCACTGCACTGTGTGTGGAGCTGTGCATGCACTGCACTGTGTGTGGTCCTGTGCATGCACTGCACTGTGTGTGGAGCTGTGCATGCACTGCACTGTATGGGGAGTCGTGCATGCACTGCACTGTGTGTGGAGCTGTGCATGCACTGCACTGTGTGTGGAGCTGTGCATGCACTGCACTGAGTGTGGAGCTGTGATCCACTTTGTGTGGAGCTGTGCATGCACTGCACTGTGTGTGGAGCTGTGCATGCACTGCACTGTGTGTGGAGCTGTGCATGCACTTCACTGTGTGTGGAGCTGTGCATGCACTGCACTGTGTGTGGAGCTGTGCATGCACTGCACTGTGTGTGGAGCTGTGCATGCACTGCACTGTGTGTGGAGCTGTGCATGCACTGCACTGTGTGTGGAGCTGTGCATGTACTGTGTGTGTAGCTGTGCATGCACTGCACTGTGTGTGGAACTGTGCATGCACCGCACTGTGTGTGGAGCTGTGAATGCACTGCACTGTGTGTGGAGCTGTACATGCACTGCACTAGTAGTTGCACTGTGTGTGGAACTGTGCATGCACTGCACTGTGTGTGGAGCTGTGAATGCACTGCACTGTGTGTGGAGCTGTGCATGCACTGCACTGTGTGTGGAGCTGTGCATGCACTGCACTGTGTGTGGAGCTGTGCATGCACTGCACTGTGTGTGGAGCTGTGCATGTACTGTGTGTGTAGCTGTGCATGCACTGCACTGTGTGTGGAACTGTGCATGCACCGCACTGTGTGTGGAGCTGTGAATGCACTGCATTGTGTGTGGAGCTGTACATGCACTGCACTAGTAGTTGCACTGTGTGTGGAACTGTGCATGCACTGCACTGTGTGTGGAGCTGTGAATGCACTGCACTGTGTGTGGAGCTGCACATGCACTGCACTAGTAGTTGCACTGTGTGTGGAGCTGTGCATGCACTGCACTGTGTGTGGAGCTGGGCATGCACTGCACTGTGTGTGGAGCTGGGCATGCACTGCACTGTGTGTGGAGCTGTGCATGCACTGCACTGTGTGTGGAGCTGTGCATGCACTGCACTGTGTGTGGACCTGTGCATGCACTGCACTGTGTGTGGAGCTGTGCATGCACTGCACTGTGTGTGGAGCTGTGCATGCACTGCACTGTGTGTGGAGCTGTGCATGCACTGCACTGTGTGTGGAGCTGTGCATGCACTGCACTGTGTACTGGGCACGTGCTTTTGCTCAGGGGCGTTCGCACTCAGGTGGGCAAAAAGAAAACGGGACACGAGTGTCGACTCCCGGCACCTGGACGTGTACACGGGCAGCGGGCCTTTTACTGACTGTGCGTCCACGTCCGCACACAATTTTACAGTATAGTCTGTATAGGTCTGGCTAACCAATGCTATGTCTCACACTTTCTATGATGTTAAGGTCCAGTCGGGAGTCACCAAGGAAACAAAGCGGCTTCTGGCCCAATCGTGGGCGGTGTCCTGGGATCCATTGCTGTGGTCCTGTGCACAGTCGTAGCTGTGGTCATCGCGAGAAGATCCGGAACAAGGATCTCAACGTTTGCCCCCAAAGTCAAGAGCCAACTCTTGACTCGAGCCACCATTGGGAGATGTCGTGGTGAGTTTACTTTGTCTGAAAGTCCATGTTGAAGAAAAGCATTCAAGCTGACAAGCTCGTTCCCATACCACTGCAAACGCTGAAAATCCATGTAGAAGAAAGGCATTCAAGCTGACAAGCACATTCCCATAACACTACAAACGCTGAACATCATTTTCACATTATTTTTTTTCCATTTTAGCAATGCTTCGGCATTTCGCCAACATCAAGTCCACGTGCGCACAAAAGTTATATATCACCTAGAAACTGAAAGTTGCCATTTAGATGTTGGCTACACTGCCGCAAAGACCTGGAAAGGAATGCAACGCTTTCCCCGTCGAACAGGCTGTTGCTTACAGCAGTTGTTTTTTGAACCGATCAGATCATGTGCACTTCATCATAGCCAAGGATCAGTGGCATCATTCAAGATGCCACTGGTCACTGGCATCATTCAAGATTCACAGCAAGAAGGCAGCAATGCCTGCACCTATGGTGAAGTACAAGAAAGGTAACATGTCGTGCAGGCACACAGGGACTTCGGCTTTTCTAAACAACTCGCCCAGGGCTGCTGAAAGTTGAAAATAATCTACCTCCAAGTTCGGGGCTTTGCCAGTATAAAACCGTGCTCTGGGAATCGAATTGATAAAAAAATCGTGTGGTGTCACTGGACCTATTTCCCCTTCTACTGTAAAAGCCATATATAAACATCAAAAAGTATATATAACGAAGAGTAAATTCAATCGAGTTAGCGAGGAGAAATCTGTCGAAAAAATAGAAATCGTTATGCAGTAATCGAGACGCATACTGTTGTGGAGCATTGAGAATGAGAATCTTTGCTAATCTTGGTAATCTTTGCTAAACGTAAACCAGACAAATTTGGGAAATAATAGCTATAAAGAGAACAAATTCTGCTGTCATCGCCACACTAGAACAGAGTCATGAAGGTTTACCAAAATCGATTTTCTTGTCACAATCATCAGTGGGAAGCCGTGACTAAAGAATAACCATGCCAAATCAATAATTTATATACATTCAATAATGTGTTACGAGAACAAAACAAAGTGCTAAAAATAGAATGAGGGAAGGTGAGACAATAGAAGTAAAGTGAGAGCTAAGTGCAACAGGGGTGAGGAACTAATTGAAGCGCTAGAACTGTGTAGTGAGACAAACAATCATGCTGTGCACCTACGAAAACAATCTTAACGCAACTACACGTTTCTTCTGCTTACAAAGATCAGGTTTATGCAAACGAATACAAACAGCCTCAAGTACTTTCAACTGACTAGCGTACCGTGCACGACAAAGAACAGAAAAACTAAAATCATCATACACCTGCAGACACTTAGGGTGAGACAACAGATGATTGTGACAAGAAAATCGATTTTGGTAAACCTTCATGACTTTGTTGTAGTGTGGCGATGACAGCAGAATTTGTTCTCTTTATAGCTATTATAAAACTGTTGTCTCCGCGTCGATTATTTACATAATTTGGGAAATCGTTATAATAATCATGTGCCTCGTTGTGGCTTTTACAGTACTTTTTTTGGACAAGTCACCCAAAAGGGCGAAAGTTTTTTTAAGCCCTCTCCTTGGTTGGAAAACATGGATACAGTGAATGGGATTTTCGGTCTTTGACCACTTACTGGTGGCCTCATGTACTCATCTCGCACCGCTTTAGGAGCTGCACCTGCGCCTTGATCCTTGAAGGGTGGTGGCGTTGCTACGGATGCGAACAACTCGGTCTCCAGCCGAGTCCGACTTGAACTGTGATTTTTACTTGGTTAGAAATTGCGACTTCGGCGGTATTAGTCATGATCTCATGCAGTTGGTCGACCCAGCGAGGCACTTTTTCTACTTGGCTGTTGTCATTATTTTCTAAATTAATTAAAATTTAAAACACATACAAACCAGGGTCAGAAAAACTGCTTACACATCGTGAGCTATTCGCCACCATAATCATCAATAAGGACTACCAAATTGATTCGTGAATTCGGAGTCCTTATTGACGATATTGGCGATGGACAGCCTAAGCCAAGCTGTTTAAAGTATCAACACTGCAGACAGAACCGCACAACATGAAAGTTTTTTTTCGAATTGTACATGAATTGCTAGAATCCGTTTTTCTCGTTTTTGCCATTGCTTGGATGTCTAGACTTTTTGTTCGAATTGCAGATGCATTGCTAGAGTCCGTTTTTCTTGTTTTGGCCATTGCTTGAATGTCTGCCGCAAGGGTTTACCGGGTGTTAGCGGCCGTCGTGAGTTCCCGTCGGGAACGGACACGATAATTTTTTTTTTTTAATTTCTAGACTTTTTCGAGCTGCAGCTGCATTGTTAGAGTCTTCTTTTCTCGTGCTGACCATTGCTTGAATGACTTTGAATGGCTTTGATTGTTTCCGTCTGCTGTTCGTCCAGAATCCATCGACTCGGACTGCGCGCCATCTCCGGCCATGTTTGACAGACGGGATACATACCTTGAGACGCATATTGAACAGGATGACGGAGGCGATGATGGAGGCGCTAAGAATAAGTATATCAACTCAAACACAGGTTTTGTGCCCTCCGACTCTGGCTGCTTGCAAATAAAAGAGGAAGGCATCTACGACCTTGCCGAGGGATCCGTCGCATTGAGCAGCTCTCAGTTAACACATGGCAGTGAAACATTGGAGCACTCCGACTCTGGCTGCTTGCAAGTAACAGAGGAAGGCATCTACGACCTTGCTGAGGGATCCGTCGCATTGAGCAGTGCCACGTTGGAGCACTCCAACTCTGGCTGCTTGCAAATAACAGAGGAAGGCATCTACGACTTTGCCGAGGGATCCGTCGCATTGTGCAGCTCTCAGTTAACACATGGCAGTGCAACATTGGAAAACCTCGAGTTCAACACACGCGGCAGTGCCACATTGGAAAACATCGAGCTCAACACACGCGGCAGTGCCACATTGGAACACATCGAGTTGAACCAGGATTATATAGTGCCAGGTTCCAACATCGTCTATCAGAATCAAATTTACGACAGTATCGTTGTTGGAAATAGTGCAGACGTTTAACCCAAGCCAGCCAACTAACACTACACATGTCCGATCTAGTGTCATACTAGAATGATATTTCGAGAAGGACATCTGTTGGGATAGTGTAACTGCGGAAATGAATGAGGTACACGAGAAGGTGGTTCTTGATCGCTCTTTACTTGAGCTGGGACTGTTTCTTTGACTCTCCCATCGCGGCATAATTCAAAACTTTCCCCATTGCGATGCATGGTATTGGGTTTGGCATTACCGTTCTTAGATTGAAGTCGTCTTCTCTTCCAGTAGGGAAATGGAGGTGTTGAACTAAATGTTTTCTTCAAGCACGAAGTACTAGCTCTTCTTGTGCAGATCTTGGACTCCACTCTCATTCCCCGTGTGCCGCTTAAATGCTTTTATACTTGCTTCCCCAGCCACATCTTCTAAATTTTATAGTTTCCGTCCTTTTTCGTCTTCATCTTGCTCTTTCGTTGGATCTCATACACATCACACAAGCGCAATGGTTGTTGATATATCCGTTGGATCTCATACACAACACACAAGCGCAATGGTTGTTGATATATCCGTTGGATCTCATACACAACACACAAGCGCAATGGTTGTTGATATCTCCAATCTGCCAGTTATGTTTGGATGACTGCTGATCGTAATCTTAAATTCTGCACGCACGTATTTGTCACCCTTCTCCTTCTTTGACTGCAATATAATCCGTTTTTGACTGTCTTGCCTCGCTAGGCTCCTCTCAAAATCAAGTCAAGGTTGCTGTCAACTAATGCAATTTCCTAGCTGATATTTTGTTTAGGGATAAGTAACATACTGTGTTCACACGCGTCTGCCTATAATGTTGTGTTGCTGGCTGCGTTTATATAAGAACTTTCGAAGCACCATTTCTGATATGCCCTGGGACAGAACGATTACACAAATCTTCTTCTTCTTCGGTAACTACAAGTCATAATAAATATAAAAAATGACTGTGAGAGTACAGCGTATATATGTAGTAGAAATTTAGATCAGTTTCTCCAGTTGCAAGAACTGGATGACTTCTGATGGTTGTGTGAGAATTGCTTCCCTGACTGACGTGAAGGTACATTGTCTAGCTGCTGGACTGCTGTGTTTGGCAGGGCAAGGTAGCAGGAGGTGGGCGGCAGCACACCTCAACTGTTCCAGGACAATGAGTGCAATCGGGTGAAGGTGCAGCCTCAATCTGGAAGAAGCACTTCAGTGTTCAGCAGGCTGCAGCTGATTGAGGACGGTGATGTACACTATTCCGGCAATGCAGTTGTGAAGTGCTTATTGCAAATAGTTACACCGATTCGGCCACCCTCACCTCCCCGTGGTGAATCCGTCATGCATGGGACTAGGCCTCGGTCTAGACCTGCCAAGCGAGGGTCTACCTCCGGTCGAATTGCTGGACTTGAAAACTAATTGCACAAATGTACCAATGTCTACATTGACTGTCGATGGCGGAAGAGACTGAATATTCAAAGATCCATTAGAGCGAGTTGAATGGGAGGTGACAAGTAAAGTAAATACGGAGGTTCTGCTCTACGTGACGGTGTTGGGAACGCGACGCAAAGAATCACGCGAACTTTCTTCGCGTTCCCGTAACGTGAAGAAATGCTGTTCTGCTCTACGTTTCACCTAGAGAAGTCACGTGGAATGTGTACAGGGAAGTTCACCTTCCATATTTGGCAGTTTTCTGCATGTACACTGGTAGTTGATCGATACCCAGCAAATTCGTACGCATTTTCTCTGCGTGTGCCACAACGTAGAGAACCCCATCTCCGCGTAGAAATCTGGAGCCAAAACACGCGAAGCCGTAGACTCTAACCCAGACACCTGCTCTCTACGTGATTTCTCTACGTTTCACGTATAGCAGAACGACTGCGCGTTTGACCAGTTTTCGCTCGTCTGCTACATGTACAATGTAGTTGAGTAATTGGCATCAAAAGCACCCATGTTGCCATTTTGCTGCGATTATGCCACTCGGCAGTGCTAGTTTACTAAAACAAGCATATAATGCTACTTATAATGCTAGCATTAGCCGCTGATGTCTATCACAACTTCACATGGCGTGAGCCAGTCAAGTGTCAGTCAGTTCGGCAGGAAACGCGAGCTCGAACAACAAGTCGTTTGGCGCAGCCACCTTCTTTGTCTTGTACCAGCGCAGCGTGATCACCAAAAAATGAAAAAATGAAGAAAAAGTGTTTGACTTGAAGATTTGTTGGGATTTGAACTCACAACTTCATGGTCAGCAGACAGCACTCATAACCACAAGGCCAAAAAGGAAGGGATAAATCGTGGGTTTGATAACAAATCGATACTGCCTTCCAGAGCAAATTATAAACCATGGGAAAAGGCCAGAAACCTGGCCGAAATTCTAACTCCTTAACGGTTGGTCCAATTGTTCCGAAACCTTCACAGAACAATTTGCCGTGCCCTAACAAGCCATTTTATGTACTTTGTTGTCCAAATTTCCCTTATCTTCATACTTTTTAAGACCCAAACTTGATTGCTAATCTTTTTGAAACAGACTGTAATTATCAGCAGACTTGATGCCTGCAATGCGGCCAAAGAGGCTCGAGGGTGCAACGGTGGAGGCTGTCTTCCGTGAGGTCATCTTTTGTAATGTCATGACGTGTTTGGTGTATTTATGACAATAATGTTGCCTGTAAAAAAAACGAGAGTACTTTTATACGTACTTATACCATGCATGGTGCATAATACAGTTCTAGAAAAAATAATTATGGACTCTTGTCTTGATACTGTAAAAGCAGACATTTTCGTGTGGTGTAATATGTTCGGTATTCTCCAAAATCGGCGGTTCGGTAGAGGGAAATTTTCGATAAAACCCGTTCAACCCCTTTGCTCCCTCAAATCGATCCTCTTCCATCACCGCTTGCTACCAGCGTCATGAACGTGAAAAACGGAGGCGATACGAACAGCGCGTCAAGGAGGTCGAGCGTGGAACCTTCATCCCTTTGGTTTTCGCTGGTGGTACTGGTCGAGCTGCTGCCGCTCTCCTCAAGAGAATAGCTGCAATGGTCTCCGACAAATCTGGTGAGCCATACTCTGCAGTGATGGCATGGATCCGCTGCAGGTTCAGCTTTGCCCTTCTCCGTGCCGGCGTGGCTTGCCTGCGTGGTGCACGACGGCTGTATTCGCACCCGGAGGTGGCTGAGTCATCCGCTCGACTCGCTGTCTCGGAAGCTGCCATATCCAGCACTAGACACTTGTTTATGCCTCGTCATCATTGCTTTTTCTTGTATGGTCCATGTATGTAACTACTGGTACATGTGTACTTGTTTTTATTGTATGTATGTATTACTGCACAAGGACCAGTGCAATACCGGCCGATATCTGCACGAACGGCGAAGCCGTAAGTGCAGATATCGACGCCGGTATTGCACGCGTCCGAGTGCAGTAATACATTTATCGCACCCCTGCCACCACACAGTCTGTCACCACACACTTGACACAGTCTGGTGCATGCAACCCTAGCAAGTAGCATGCTGCATGCAACCCTGCTATCATTTCACAGTCATACGGGGTGAATAGCAATTTCTGGACATGAAAATAAAATAGAGGCCCACTGGCTGTGTGTTTTACATTTTTCATATCTTTTTGTATCTATTGTATGGCCTAATCCTTCATCTTTCCAAATATGTGACAATTGCTCATGCTGTGATCCCAGAGACTTTATAGCAGGTTGTTTTCGACAGGCCAATTTTTTGGCCTAAATTTCAGTGTATGGAATTCTGGACATGAAAGTAAAATAGCGTCAATAGGCATCCTATACTGCACCATTTTTGTTATTTTTTCTATTGGTGGACTGCAGTTGGCCTCTTCACACTTCCAGCCAACAGGTCCAAGACTATACAGCGTCTGAAGTGGAGTGCACATGGGGAAGCCAACGATTCGTCCATTACTTCTTATTTTACTCAAAATTCAAAATTCTCATGCGACATAGTACCACAAAACTCGTTGAAATGCCTCCCAAGAAAAAGGCTATCAACAAGGCACCGACACGAGGAGAAACTACAACAACCCAGCTATCAACTACAACAAGAAAAAACTTCATCAACCTAATTGACTTGACTCTACACGCGACGAAAAATTATTTTACTCGAAATGTCCAGAAATGTACAATGTCCAGAAATAGCAATTCACCTCGTACAACACAGCACAACCAGTCGCGTTCATTTTTAGAGGAACACTTCTTTCGAGTAGCTGCTGTCTATCACGGGAGATCCTGGAAGTAGCGGGACAGCTTGCTCATGTCGTCGTCGTCGTTGATGGGGTGTTTGTGCTCCACCGCTTTGACTTCTCCCGCTTTCTTTGGCTTATTTGGAACGGAAACCGAGCAAGTTTGATGCAGAGTAGAACTTCACTCCAGCTTTCTTCGGACGCAATTCGACGTAGATCTATGCATGTCGCAGAATGTAAGCTAGGTCGCTTGCCGTAACCGTAGTCAGGTCACAGCGACGTCCTGTGTCTTTACAATACTCGTCGAATAAGCGGAGCCATTTGTCAGTTTCCTGCTCTGTGTTTTTTGTTTTTCTGCTCAGAAACGAGGCTGTTCGATGGCGGCGTCGGACAGTTTCTCAAATCGGCTGTCGACAGTCTTCTCCAATACTTGGGCGTCCGCTGTCTCGACTCTCACGGAGCTTGTGAAGTAGTTGACTTGGCGGACGCAAGCCGGGTCCACATTCGCTTCTGCGACATCGACAGCGTCTTCGACCAATTATTATTTGGTGTGCTGCAGCAAGTCAGCAGCGACTCCCTGGCCTGGCGGAGCGACTCGCAATATTCCCAGTACTCGTACACCGCCAGCCAATGACTATGTGGATGCACTGCAGTGCGATATTGCACCCCGGCGAGTGAGCGTGCAAATAACCTATATCTGCACGCTCACTTCGAAGCGAGCGTGCAAATAACCTATATTTGCACGCTCGCTTCGAAGTGAGCGTGCAAATATAGGTTATTTGCACGCTCACTCGCCGGGGTGCAATATCGCACTGCAGTGCATCCACATTGGCTGGCGGTGTACTGGGGAATATTGCACGCTCAGTAAGGCCGCTGATTGGCTCAAACCATGGAAACACTCACGTGGGGTGCGATAACATTGTGTTACTTAATTCTGCCCGTACAAGAGGCCGGTTTACCAAGTTAAAAAAAAGTAAAACCCGTTCTCCAGATAAGTGAGTGTACTAGTACTACATGTATACAGTATCAGTTGTACCGAAATTTTCGGTGCGTTTTATTATCGGTAAAAATTGTCGGCACCGAAGTTACCGAAAATGCAACACCACCGCAAATAGTACCAAGAGTACATGAAAACCGGTTTTCATGTACTCTTGATAGTACATAACCCCACCTATGTACTCTTGACCCGACATTGGACATGGTACACAATGCTGTACTGTTTCAGGTGCTGCTTTTCCGCCAAAAGTGACGGAAAGGTCATGCTTTTTTTTTTTTTTTTTTTTAAGCTGAGTAATTATTTATTATTATGTTTGGCACCTATGATCAGGGGATGGCCCACGCCTGGTAAAAAAATGTAAGTAATTAAAAAAAATTAAAAATAAGAGGTTCTGTGTTCCGGCTCTCCGCCCTTCTCCGCGAACATAAGAGAACTAGAGGAGAACAAACAAACACAAGAAGCAAGAATG